CCAGCTGTGAAAAGATACGAAACAAGAACTAAGAGGGCGGGGACCAAAGCGGCATCCTCCAAATCCCGAATCGATTGGAGGCGCACCAGAAGGGCGCTGATACTGCCCGACAGCAACGACGAGTCCTCAGCCTCCTCTGAGCAGGAGTCCGCCACATCCGAGAGTGAAGGAGACGAGCGGGAGCAAAGGGCTGTGGAGGGCGGGCCTTCGGGTCAGCGGGAGAAAATCCACACCGGGGAAGTTGCGGAAGATGGTGATGATGAGCGCGTTGTGCCCGGGAGGCGTAAGAGGTCGAGCTCCTCCGTCGTGTTGGACAGCGATGAAAGTGAGGGCAGTGACGTACTTGTTAGAAAGGTGTTTGCCAAACGCCGCTGTATCCTGGATGACGATGAGAATTCTGAAGAACAGCGGCCTGATAAAACATGCCCTACAGAGGATGTTTCTACGAGTAGGAAACATAAAGTTCTTGCAAAATTGAAGGAACTTGTGAGACAAAGTTCAGCTCGGAGATCCTGCAGCGGTGCAAATTGTGAGGTCAGGGTTTTGTCTTTGAAATTTAATCTCAGGAAAGGTTAGGAGGTAAAAATCAGTTGGATTTTTTGGGTTTGAATGCATGACAAATTAGTAGTTCTGTAATATTTTAAGTCACATTACCTGGATAACTATTGACTGCTGAAAATCTATCAAGTTATTTTTATCAGGAAGCAGAATACCTGATGAAGTGCCTTAGAGATCTCATGTTAGCTTAATTCCTAGAAGTAGACTGAAGAGAGGTACATGGAGATGGCTAATGTAAGGCTGAAATTGTTGTCTAGTACAGAATGATGTATTTTTTAGAAATGTGTGCTTTCTTGTTAATTGAACAAATGGTGTTATTAGATGGTCGGAAATCTTAGCTGGTGTATGTAGTATTTTGTCTGTGCAAATACTGAAAATTCTTATGTTTGAAGTACTTTTTAAAATTTAATTAGGATTCTAATAGTGAATCAGCAGTAGAAGAGGAACCATTCCGTCAGCTGCCCCTCACACCATCAGAAGGCAGTGAAACTGATGGTGACAGCATGAAAGATTTTGTAGTAGAGGAAGAGGAAAATGATGATTGTGATGACATTGACAACACAGAGCATGTGAAGAATGAAAATCAGCCACATCAAAAGCAACCAAATCCATCAAACAGCGAGCTGCTGGCACGCTACATCCCACAGTGTAAGATCAAAATTAGTGATAATTCTTCATGTATAACTAGCTCGTACTACTGTAATAAAAATTAATGAGCTGAATGCAAATGCAAAGGAATAGGATATTATATTTAAAAGCAGATACCTAAAAGGTTTCAATTTATTATGAAAGCATTCCAATTTCCACATTAAACTTTTGCAGTCTTTAAATAGCTAATTATAGAGAGGGTATAAGTTGGGGGGGAGAAAGTGAAACCTTATTGCACAAATTTTTTTTTCAGCTGGTCTTATTTAGGATGAAGTAGACTGCCTATGATGCATTCATTCCTGTGGAGGCCTGAAGGCATCATCCTTCATCTTGTGGTTTATGCTAAGAGCAGCTATGTTAATCTGTCCAAATTCTGTTCTCGCCATGAGTTTGCGGCTCGAGATTTTATTTTTTGGATTTTTTTGTTTGCTTGTTTTTTTGTTTTATTTTGGTCTTTTTTATATATTTTTATTCTGTGGTGGGAAGACTTGGGACCAGAGGTCCAGAGGAGTTTCTGACTTCACTGGCCAATCTTGGCCAAATTACACAGAGCAAGAAAACTCTTCAAGTTGTTCTTTTATTAAAACCAGTTTCTGGATGGAGCAGAGAGATTTGAAGCAGAACCTTATGCAAGTTATTTTCTTCCATATTTTGTTGTTCAGAAGTAGGTATGTAGTGACTGGACAGTCACTGCTAGTGTAGGTAGTCACAAGCATTTTTGGTATTTCTTTCCTAGTGAATACCTCAGTAGAATTGTATTTGAAAGACAGAAAAACATGAACACAACAAAAAAAAAAACACAAGCAAAAAGCCCATGACCACAATATAAGCTTTGTCTTCTCTGATTTATGTTATTTTCTGCTATTCATAGAACAAATTCTTCACTTCTCTTAGTGTTTGTAGGTCTTACTGTGGACTCTTCTTGCTGGAAGAACTTTGTCATTTTAGAATGCTAAAATTCTGTAGAATCGTTGGGATAAAAAGCAGAATTTAAAGTCAGAATCCTCTGTCTGTGGATGTTGTGCATCGAAATTATTTCTAAGTCTATATTTAAATAACTTTAAAATTATAAACTTACAATACTGGACAGGAAGAATTTTCGTGGGACTTCTAGCATGGCTTACTTTTTTTTTTTTTTCCTTTTTTTGATAAATTTTGGTTGTATTTCTTTCTTCCCAGTATCTCGCTGTGAGCATTATGTACATTTCAAAAGAATAGTAAAGGCTTTCCTCATAAATGCAATTGATGATTCTTTTCTGAGCTCATTATATGGTAAGTAAATTTCATTTAATAATATATTAATGCATTCAAAGTTATACAAAACCATTTGTTCTAGGGAAGGGTGTTTCTCCTGATTATAGAACTGAGGGTCCTGAAATCTTTGATTTACTGCTATATAACTGGTGGGGGAGTTATATCTGAAAATGATACAGTAATCTTGGAAAAATGTGTAGACTCAATTATTGAGCACAGAAGGCTTGAAATGCCTTCTTGAAAGGTAGGAATGTGTGTCTGTGTTACTAATCAGTAGTAACCTCTCCAGCATGAAAACCAAATTCGTTTCAAAGCAGATATCTCAATGAAAACATTGCAAGGTCAGCTGGTTTATCAAAAGCTCTTGTGCTTCACAGCTTTTTTTCTTAGGAATTTGACAGATAATAAATGCTTTTAGTTATGGAGATGACTCTATATAATATTTTTTCCCTTTATTTTTAACACATCAGATAAATAAGCTTCAGCTGCAGTCAGTACTTGTCTTATTTTTTCTGAGGAAGTTCTTTTTGGCATTTATCCTAGCTGGGCTGAATAACAGCCTCACACATAGTTTCATAAGCACTGTAAAGATGGGATTAAGGACAGGACTCTCAGTGTCAGATTATGGAAGCAGCTAGTGAAATGCCAAGAGTGGAGGTTTTGATGTCATCAGGAACTAAGAGCAAATGGAGAAACTGATGTACACCACAGACCTCAGAATAAAGGCTGTATACTCTTGGAGCTAAAAATGTCTTTCATCTACCCCTGTTGGTTTTTTTTAGGTGTTTGGTTTGTTTTGTTCAGCGAGTAAAAACAAGCCTTTGAAAAGTAATAAATAAATACTGCCAGATGAATGTTGTAATAGCTTCCTTCTATTTCAAATGATAACTGCTCAATAAAATGTAACAATTTACTGCCAAGTTGCTGAAAGGAAATGAGCTTTGCAGTTGAGCTGGAGGTTGTACATGAACATTGTGTGAATATACCCTAGCATTACAAAAATGTATTTTTGTAACATAGAATGGATTGTTCTGATTTAATGGAAGTGAATCTCTTCATTAGTTTTGACTCGAGAACAGCTACTATAGTATTGGAGTTCACACTTCCTTTTAGTTGGGAGGGATTTTACTTTGTGGCCTAGTACAGCCTTTTCAAGCTTGTACTGCAAATGTGTGTGTAAAGTGAATGTGGAAAAACAGTTTATTGTAATTATGGTGGCTATAATGACAATTAACTACTTTTATCTAGAAAGCTGGATAGTGAGTTGTCCTTCTCAGGTCTGCCTTTTTTTGGATAACAGCTTTGCTAGAAGGTAGGGAATTAAGTTTTGGGAATTAAGTACTGGGAAGGTAGCTTAATTAAGTTTTATGTCTGTATACACTGAAGTTCCAGGGCCATGTGCATTGGCTTCCATTTAGGGAAGTCCTGTTTAATTCCTGGAGTCCAGCATGTATTTGGGAAACAGTGGTAGTTTTACTCATCCTTGTGCTTTTTTATTTATTTTGCTTGAGTAAGTATTTGGAAGTACTTATGCTAACTCAAGACATCTGACTGTGCTACTGAAGTAAAAGTCAGTTTCTCTGATATCTTTATAAGTGACAAAGAGAGTTTTCAAGATTTCTGCTCTGAAGTAGCTCAGAGCAGTTTCTTCCATGGATTGAAAAACATGACATTCCCCCACATACTTCCTTCTTTTCCATTCTTTTAAATAGGATTGAGTGATTGGATCTCCATTTGGGATGAAAGCTTTTGACTTGATTGTGGAGTTTATTCTTGTACCCCTTTTAAGTTATGAAATATATCCCTTTATCAAGATGCATGGATTGCATGGATCACTTTTATGGGTAACAGTAGGAAATGTATTCAATAACAGTTTAGTAAAATCATTCATAGTTCTTAGTGTGCAGAAGCATAAAGTCCTTGAAAATTGTATCTAAAGAACTTGTACAACATAGGGTGGTCAGCAAATTAGTGATGATTCTCACTGAACAGATGGAACGAGACAAAAGAAATATGCACAAGAAATGCTGCTCTCACTTCATTATTTGGACGAACGCTTCATTCAGCCTCGTCTTGAGAACTTAATCTGTAGAAGTCGCTGGAAGGATCGATACAAGGTATGTAGATTCTTCTTTAAATGCTGAAACTCTCTATAAAGGTGCAACAATCACTATAATTATATATCCTTCTTAATAGCAACTATTGTTCTTTGACTTAAATAATTTGTTTTGGTGCTTATATAAATATCAGAAATATTTTACATGTTGATAACCTGACAAACATTCAGGTAGCAGAACAGAATCTGTTCTCAGCTACCTGACTGCTAACCAGCAGGTGACATTTGAGGACTTTTTTTTGTGACTTGCTAAATGTTCTAACAAGATTTTTTTCCTCCTCCCACAAAAAAGTAAACAGTATGTTCATCATGAACCTTCTACTATTATGAAAATAATTGCAATTAGTTGTTGTATGTATATTACTAGAAGAGAATTAGTGTCATGGGTGTGATGATTTAATGATCACTGTAATAATGAAATCTGGCTCTCTTTAATTTCTCTAAGAGTAATTTTGTGTGAGTACAGAGTACTCAGCAGCCTGTTTGAAGCATCATTCAGTTTACAGTGGTTCTTTAATGTTATTTGGAATCTGTTTTTCAGAACCGTGTGGATTGTTACCCAAATGTTCACATCAGCTTGCAAAATGCAAAAAATATGTCTTGTCAGGCCTGTGCGCTGAAGCGGTGGTGTAAGTTCAACGTGTCGCTCTCTGGAAGGCTTTATAATAGTAAAACTTTGGAAGTAGATGACTTCATGTCAGAAGATAAACAGGTAATTTCAAACCAGCACTATATTTTTATTTCTAAGTTTTCCTTTTATAAAGAAAATAAATTAGATGTATTTCTGTGACCTTTGGTTTTGCCTGCATCACAGTAACCCTTGTGCTTTTCACTCCTCATATTTATCCCTTAATGAAAAGGCCCTTCCTTTGCCTTTGTGTGTGCCTATAATGCCCTTAAGACTTTCCCAGCAGGAATCTTGCATGTATTGGTGGTCAGAAACGTTGTAAAAGTAACTTTCTGTATGAGGGACACTCATTCCCTTTGAATGATTGTGTTTTCTATTTTGTTGCTTGTAAAGTTTGTTCAACATTGGATCACTAGGTTTGCTAATTCTGTGCCTGCTCTGCCTCTAGCCCTTGGAAGGTCCACCTGCACTCCCAACAGTTCTTGTTTGCTGTAGGTTCAAACACTGAGTGAAATAGTGCAATGGTCGTTCTAGCAGTCCAAGCGTGACCTTGTCAAAATTTATTGCTTCATTCTTCAGATTTTTTTCCCACCTCTGCGTTCCCACATAGCTATTCACTCAGGACAAATTATCTTGGCATTTCAGATGCATTTGTACCTGAGGTTGTTGATGTCCTTTCAAGAAAACTTGTTCCTACCTACATCAGTACATTTTATTAAAGCCTTTTCCCCATTACTGCATTATCAGAATTACTTGTCCAAACTAGAGAACACTTCCATTTAGGTAGTCTTGCATCTATTTCTCCCTCAGTTGTCTCTTCTAGTGTTGCCCTGTTCTTTTGGTAGTTCTAAAGTCCTTCTAAACGTTTTCCATGCCTTCTGATGTTTACATATTTCTACTGAATTTTCTCACACTGTTCATATAAACAATGATTGTTTTGCATTCTTCTTTGTGGGCGGAGAGAATTGATGGACTGTTGCTTTGACCAGTGTGGTTAGAGAGGTAGCAATTTCATCCTCCAATCCACTGTCACTTTTGCTATTCTCTATATAGTGGAGTCAGAAAATAAAGTTTGCTTTTTTGATTCTTTTTCTTTCCTTTTACATCTAGCCTGCTTGTGTGAGTTATTTCGTGTCATAGTGTGACATTCTAGAACATTTTGGATTAGATTTTTCTTGTTTTAATTAAAAGGCATCTTTCATGTTGTTGTATAATATTCCATTAGGCAGTCATTTTAGGTGATTTAAGAAGTCACCTAAAATAATTTAATAATAGCCTAATACAAATTTATTTCACAGCTGAGCCTTTTGTAAACCTTGACTCTCAAGAACCTAAGTGTTTCTAATATTTAGAGATCTTCCCTTCAAAATTACAGCTATATGTAATTGTTGTGATTAGGTATGCATATGCCCTTCAGTGATGCAATTCATGACCTCTTATGATAAATTCAAAGCACTTGATTTGTCAAGAATAAAATATTGCTACAGTTGTTTTACCAAGCTGATATCCAAGTGAGTTCTGCCTTTCTTCCCTTTCAGGAGACACAGATGGTATTTTATTTGTGAGTGTAAAAGAATTTCTGAACACAGCTCAGAAATACTGTACTCCTTACAGTATTTGTTGAAAAGAGTTTCAGAACAATTGTTTTTTTCAGTATGTTTGGTAATGAGGTGTAATAGGGTTTCTAAAGTAAAAATGAAGTGAAGCCCGTATCAAACAGGACATGTACCTTACTGAAGCTCAAACCTGTATTGTCTGGGTATTTGCAAATTTTTTAACTTTCAGATTTGAGAGCTGTCACCATGATTATCATTTTGTCATCATACAGGCTCTGCATGTAATGCAGGAGCTTGAAAATTGTGACGGAATTTTTCTTATATTACAGACCCTTCTGAGCAGCAGTTGCTGATATTCTGTTTTGAAAAGTATGTATGTGCATGACAGTCAAGAAAGCTAGACTTTTCCCCTTTTAAATCCTGTTTATTGTAGGAAAACAGTAAATCCTCTGCAATCATCCCAAGACTGATACTGCAGCCTGTCATAGGCATTCTTCCTTACATACAGATCATTAATTTTAAAATACTCAGTTTTCCATGGGAAGTGTGTGCCTTACCTAACCAGAAATAATTAGTGAACTAGCACAAGAATTTAATCTTTACCTAACTTTCAGCTTAACTGTGGAAATAACAGTAGCAGTTCCCTCACGGCTGACCAAATGTTGTCCTGCATAAAGTGTTGGCTATTTTTTACTTTGGGAAAAACTTGAAATATCCTACAGAATACTGAACTAACTTGCTAGCTCATTTTTTGTCCTCTTCGGCTTAGCAGGACAAAATGAGAGCTTTTTTTACCCTGTGTACACCAGCATCTGGGGATGTCTGCTATGTGCCTGCTCAGTATAGCACAGTGGCTACTGAGGAGGCTCAGGAGAGAGTAATTGAGCACTTTCCAGTCATTTTTGATAGTGTCTTGTAATGCAACATTTGTGTTCTTATGATGACCTGCAGTTTAGACTGCTAAAAGTACTGTTCTTAAGTTGTCTTTGAAGCTCTGCTGGCAATGCATTGAGCAACTTGTCCTGCCAATTTAGAAAAAATATAAAAGAGAAAGAAGCTCACGGAGCTACATAAAACTGCCATTTCACAAGCCTAAATTGACTGATAGAGAAGGCAGTTCCGGACTGACAGATCAAATTGAACGGAAACACATAGCTGGAGTATTTTCTACAGTTTGTTTGAAAACACCCAAGAAAAGTGGATGTGAAGAGAACAAAAAGAGACCTCCAACCTCCATCTTCTGCATAAAATTTTGATTTTCTCTCATCTCTGAAGTATTCTGCTTTGCCAGTAGAAAGAGAAGAGAAACAGCTGTTCCAATTTTGCTTAGGCTTGCAGTGATGACTCACTGTTTAGGTGCCAATTCTCATTTCCCTCTGATCAGGGAAAATCAGAAGGTTTAGAGATATAAGTGTCCCCCACACTTCCTTATGTCAGCTGGATCATAAACTGTTTCCTACTCTCAGTCTTGGTGTTCTGTTTATAAACATGCTTTGAGGACATGGATTTAGTCACTACATGTTGAGCTATTGTCTAACCATGCTCCTACATTCCATACAAAGTGATTTAACACAACTTTGGCTGATAGGGCCAGCTTGAGTAGATAAGTTAAGCATTAACACAGAAGGACTAAGAACTGTAAGGGGAAAAAATAGAGTACAGTACTGAGATTCTTTCCAAAGCTGCATTCTGAAATAGCATTGTATTTTTAGACTATCTTTCTTGCTTAAAAACACAATACATAGTTACATTTATATGATATCTAGCTATTTGCCTTTGGCATTTCTCCACGTCACACATAAATAAGCTATGAAACTCACTGCCACAGGATATTTTGGAAGAGAAAAATAGTATTGGGTCCCAAAATGAATTAGACAGGTTCTTGGGGAAGGTTCTTTCACACTATAGAACATGAGATTTGGGATGATACAGACGATCTTAACTCTTGACTGCTAGAAAATGTGTGGTAATCTTATGATCATTCTAATGTTTGTGCTAGGTCTTATACTAACTTTCTACATATCTCCTGCTAGCTGTTGTCACAGGGGAGAACACTGGGCCATCAGTTTGATGTAAGATGGTATCTCCTATTTTCTATCACATAGTGTTCCAAATGCCACACCTCATTGTTTGGGATACTTGAAAAGTTATGCAATGCTCTATAAAACAGTGCAGCTCAGTTCTTCATTGCTGCAGTATTTGAAATAGTGCTTCTGGAAATTTGAATTAATCAAGGCTCAGAAGCAGTTGGTAGGTCTTGCACTTCAGGAGCACCGGCAGCACCAAACACAAGCCTTAGTTTTTGAGTTTTGGGGATACTAAAAAATGGAGCTGTATGTAGGTATAACATTTACATGATCAGTAGAGAATTAAAATATAGTAATAGGTATTTTTTTTTTTCAAATTTTTAAAATTTCAGTTAAAAACAGTTAAATGTTTAAAATGTCAGTTACTGTAGGTCAGATCAAAAGTTCTTTTGAGTGTGTCTCTTTTGACTTAATGGATATTATGCCTGGTGATATCCACTGAGCTGCTGGTTAATATATTTAAGAAATTAAGATATATTAATATAGTTAAGAAAATATATAACTAAAATACATAATTTCTGTTTACATAATCTTTAAAAATACACTTTTCTGTTACTTTCATTGTTGGCAGATAGAGCTAGCACTAGGTTGCACAGGTAGATCAGGTGTTCTGGGGAACTGCTCACAGATGTAAACATTTGGTCACGCATTCAGAAAAGCTCGCTGAAATGTGGGTTGTAAGCATTAATTAAAACTTAACCTTCCTGTAATTTGAGAATATTCAGATTATTAACAATAAAAGGTATCACTTTTGTGGTTCAGAAAAAATAGTTTTGCAACTTAAAATTTAGTTGATTTGTATATATATATGCACGTAATGTAAAACAACAATGCAATTGCAGGTAGCTTTCATTACTAATGCAGAGAGCTTTAGCCATTTACATACTTCTTATGGAAAGGTGTGACAAGACAGTGTGACATCATCAGGCCACATTTTGCTGTTTGTCTACCTATAAATACTGCTGTGAAAAAACTGTGAAATAAGACAGTTCCATCTTTTCTGAATGGAAGTCATAAAGGTAAAAGAAGTGGTCATAACTGGGAGATGCAGAGGATTTCTTTTCTGCACCATCATAGCTTAGCTATTCCTCTCAAACAGTTGCAGATTAATATTTGTATTATATAAAGCTTCAACTTCAGATTTTATTTTTTTTAAATTCAGCCTCTCCATTTATTAAATTAGTGCTATGAGGCATATGTCTATATGTGTTTATATGTATTTCTTGAAGAAATATTGAATATTATTCAGCCTACAAAATGTTAAAACTGATATTTGATCTCCCTAGGAAGTACTTACATATTAAGCAAAAGTAAGCAAATAATTCCTCTTCCTCTGCTTTCACAATATGATGGTTGTCTAAAGTGTAAGTGATTTTGTAACAAAGTTCCACCAGGAGATAGGAAAGATACAACCAATTACAAACACTATTGTATTTGCAAGAAGACAGCACTGATAAGCTGCCATTGCTTTGACTTTCTGGATGCCTGCTTGCTCAAAAATCTTTCTGCTGTGGCTGTGAAAACTACATGGGCTTGTGCTAATTTTATGCATGTAGTGTCATTCTGTTTATTTCATTATTCCAAACAATTTCCTGGACTGACTGATTAAATCTAATTAGATTAGCCCACCAATTCTGTGTATTGTAAAGGTAATCATGGTTCTATCCAAGGGAATGATTTGTTCTCTCTGGCCTAGGTTTTGAAGGTTGGCGTGGTGTGTGCAAATCGTACAAGAGTTTATCACAACTTGAAACACTTCAAGTACAAGCTATACATGGATTGCAGCTCCGTTGTTGAATTGGATGGCGTTGTGGATGAACCAGTCAAAGACACTGTAGAGCGGCTTTTCAACCACTTGGATAAGACTGGGTGGATTCAGAAGGTATGACTGGTATATTCTCTGTATTCTTTTCTAAGCAGATGAAAGTAAGTTCAGATAAAATGTGTGATTTAATGGATCTTTTCTGAGTTACCATTCATTAATAACAACTCAGCTCACCCATTCCCCCATTTCTCCTGAACCAGTGTTTGAAACAGTGGTCTGCTGCCATTCTCACACAGAGTTTGTATCAGCTTTTGACATGAAACTTTTTGACAGCTGTGTGATCTCTAGGCTGTGGTGGCAGGCCCCTGTTTAATTTGAAAGTAGCAACACAACAAACTTGAGCTGTAACTTGGAAAGATGGGAAGATGTACATGAGGCACAGCAAGAATATTTTAGAATTCTGTTTACACTGAAGAACTTTTAATTGCTGGGAATCACTTTATAAACTATTTTAAGACAAGTTGTAATACAATTGCATTCAGTATGCTTTTAGATACGGCTTCTAAATTGTTATTGGCATGCTTGGTCCTGTTGAATGATAAAAAGCAGTCTTAACATAATACAGTTATTAAATACAGATAAATTGTACAAATTTTATTTTATTCACAGAGATACAATGATCTTGAAGATTATATGGAAGATGCAGACAATTTTCAAGAAGAAAAAATTGTTTAAGAGGTCATATAGCTCTTTGAAAGACATCTTTGACATCTTTAAAAATGTGAATGGCCTATATCATCTGCATGCACTTTTATATCTGCCTGGACTTCAAGATTTCTATGTAGGCTGTTACACTAAAATTCATATGCCTTTAAATTAGTTTGATAATGTGCTGTATCTTTTTTCTCATATGTGTCGATACAAATCCAAAGTTTTACCAAATCAGTCCTTCCAGTCTTAAAAATAAATCACTTAAAATTTCCTACTGTTAGAAATATCAGTTCAATATCTATTTACTTATGAAATAAAATTTCCACCTATTCAGATTGAGCAGCTTTGTAGAGAAGAGGAGATGCTGAGATCTTTTGAAGTAGGTATATTGGAAAGGTAAGACTTTTTTATACCAGAACTTAGGACTTGCATCTTAACCTTCCTTATTGCTCATTATGTGCAAGTCCAGTCAGTTAGAATGATAGTTACAACAAACAGGACCCAAATGCAATTTGGTTCTCTGAGGGATCAGTATTTCTTCTCTGAGGAATCAGTGTAGACAGTTACAAGGCAACAGAGGAAATAATGCTGCAGTCCTGTCTGCATTTGCATCACAGTAGTCATTCCTCTCTTGAGAAAGTAGGTAATGAGTCACAGTATGGGCGTCATACAGACTGAGTCTGGCTTAGCCATCTAAATGAACACATGGGCCCACATTGCTGTCTCTGATAAGCAGCTGGGGCAATTTACTGAGATTTTAAACATCAGGTTACATTGTGCAAACATAATGGCAGCAACTTGGAGTAACTGCAGTCCTAGGAGAATGGATTAATATGCCCATGCAAGATAAGCAAGAATTCTTTGAGTGTAACTTAACAGAAAGTAGGAGTTAGTCAGAAACAGGATGCATGGCATACCAGAATTGCATGAAACCAAATCAGAGTAGATTTTCAAGGATTTTGGAAAGGTTAAGTATGGTACTGCCCATTCTGAAAAATTGGACAAGAACTGTAAAAGTGTACTCACAGCCCAGAAAGCTGACTGTGTCCTGGGCTGCATCCAAAACAGCATGGCCAGCAGACTGAGGGAGGTGATTCTACCGCTCTGCTCTTATTAAACTCTACCTGGAGTGCTGCATCCAGCTGTAGGGTCCCACCATCAGAAAGACAAGTCCAGAGGAGGGTCGCTAAATTGATCAGAAGGCTGGCTGTAGATAGGCTGAGAGAGTTGGGGTTGTTCAGTCTGGAGAAGGGAAGGCTGTGGGGGTCCTTATTGCAACCTTTAGGTATTTAAAGGGGGCCTACAAGGAAGACGGAGAGGAACTTTTTGCCAAGGCCTGTAGTGACAGGACAACAAGTTTTAAACTCAAAGAAGGTAGGTTAGATGGACATAGAGGAAGAAATTTTTTACTGTGAGGTTGATGAGGCACTGGCACAGGTTGGCCAGAGAAGATGTGGATGCCCTCCCTTGGAAGGGTGTTAAGGTTAGGTCAGGATGGGGCTCTGAGAAACCTGGTATACTGGAAGATATTCCTGGTCATTATGATCCTTAAAGGTCCCTTCTAACCCAAATTTTTCAGTGTTTGTGTGCAGCAGTTACCTGCCACAGCCCCGGACGGGTGGAAGGGTCTGGCTGGCACAATCCGCGTGAGGCTGCGTGGCCACCACGTGAGAGGCATCTCAGGGGAGAATCATCTGCCCCGATGGTGCTGAGTGCTGCTCGTGGGTGCGCAGCTTCAGTAACTCTGCATGCTGAGAGGAGGTAAAGAGATGAGAGAGGACACTTGTGTGCCAGCCCAGAGAGTCCTTTATTTACCCAGGTATGGTGAGAAAGGTGCCCTCTGAGTGGGTACAGTGACAAATACTGAAGAAATCAATGATTACAGCAACTTAAATAGGTGTTGGGCAGACAGGGGTGCAAACCTGTCTTGCTCAATGGGGATAAACCAGAGAGGGACACAACAATCTATGATAATGTGGCAGGGGTAGGTACAAAATCAGGGGACAAATAGAAAAGCTATCAGGGGACAAATAGAAAAGCTGGAGTGATTGATACAAAACTTTCTGGAAGAAACTGGGGGTGGTTACAGGATTGACAGTTGAAGGGGTGTGAACAAACTCAGATTGATGGAACCAAATAGGGAGAAAATGGGGAAAGGTGAGATGATTGACAGATAAATGGGGAGCCAAGTGGTGGGAACTTTTGGGGTCAGGGGACACATGGGGGAGCATAAGGCTAACTAACATTGATGAAACCAGCTGACTAAGTCAACCCACACTGCAACATTTCAGTCCCTGTATTTGGGGTGCATATAAAAAGAATCATATAGCCTAAGGTAAAATGCAGGGTGCGGTGTTTTGAATCCTACATCTTGCTGTATGCACATACTCTATTAATAGACTTTTGTGGCTGAGCAACTTAGTGAAATATAGTGTTAATACTCTGAATCCTTCTAACATGTTACTCTCTCAACAGCAAAACTAATGGAACCTGATTTCTCATAGATTTGTCCATAAGAAGTGACCACATTTATTTTGCCACTTTACTGGGGAATAGATATGCCAGCTGGGTAGGCAACTGCTGGCAGATGTATTGCTTAACAATGAATATCTGCTGTCTTTTTTACATAGAGTCTGTACCTTAGATTCACTACTCTTTTTCTAGCATTCATTGTGAGAAATTAACTGCTTTTACTTTTTTAAGAGCTTGAAATTCAGCAATGTTTTAAATGCTACTAGGCTGAGTTAGTAGCATCTATACTCCTTTGTACCACATACAGTTACAAGATACACAAAACCAAGATAAAAATTCCTAATAAACAGATTGAGACTTGCTCTCAAGTAAACTTATGTTGAAGATATTATTTCAATACCTTATCTGTGAGTTAGACACATAAAATTCTGAGGTTTGGTATGTCTTATACCTATCTCTCTGGTTACCAAAGCTGAAGGTTCCCTTCTCTCTTCCTTCTCCTCCCTCATCTCTGTTCTTCTGATAATATTGGTTGGAACATACCCATCAACTTAAAAGTACTCAAGAATCCATCTTGAATAGATCCCTTTTAGTTTTTGATACCTCACTTCTTTCTGTTAATAAAATCTCTGTATAGTTTGGTTTGCTTCTCTAGAACAGAACATATATTTGGTGTACCTTAATTCTTACAAAGGAAGACCATTATGAAATGAGTGCTGTACCATGTAATGGAATATGTCCTCTTAGAGCCTTCCTGACTGGTCCACTTTTGCTACCATATGAATTTTCTGAAAACCCTCAAGACTATGACTTCAAACTGAATTGTTGATCTCTCATTTTGCTACATTAAAACAATTCACTACCGAAATAAAGCATAAGTTTGTGAAACTCTGGCTTGATGATTACAGGTAGTATTTCAAGGATACATACAGTTTGATTGGAAATTGAAATGGTCCATGCTACTCATTTTTTGATATCCCAGACTTGTTTCTTACCTCCTCTTTATTCACCTAAAAAGCATGTACTATCTACAGCATTTTTTCCAGATAATTGTTTTTTCTGTTGCTAGCAGGTATACAAAAATATTCTGTTGGAACTTCTAGGTAGCAAGTGCTTCCATAGGTTTACTAGTCCTGGCTGTGGTATCACCAGTGGGACTAAGAAAATGCTTTAAATTGAAAGTACTCATTTCTGTTTCAGTAAAAAACAGTTATTTGATTTGGCAGGAGCTGATGTTTTTGTGTGTCTCTTAAACTCTGATATTTGCCTCACTGAGATGGGAGGAAGTGATAATACTTTTGTGGCTGTTGTTCTATCTGTAGTGTTTCTAAAAGACAGCGAATAGGAAGTGTCATTATATCACTTTTACATTTGTCTTCACCACAAAGTTAAAAAATTGTTTAGAAGAGTAAATATGTAAAAATTTAGATCAAATTTTCCAGGTTTATCTGCAAATGCTAGTAGAGCATGAAGCACAAAGAATACTCTTACCCCTGAGACTTTCTATATATAGAAGCAATCAGTAAGAATATTTCTGGCAGAAAAAAAAATTGTGCAAATACCTAATGATGGGAGAAGTTAGAAATCTGACCAGTCTTTCATGCTTTTTTTTTTTTTTCCACATGAGAGAAACTGAATGGAGTTAGAAGGTGAGAGAATAAAATGTTTGTTCCAGTAGGATATTGTTAATTGTTTTTACTGTTAATTTTTGAAGCAGTAGCTCTAATTAAGATAAAGTACCTGTCTTAATGGAACAATGAAGAGAGCTCAGTATGCAATTAGACTTTGCACAGGTGATTAATGATCATACTTGGAAATTACATTAGTTCCTGTAATGTTTTGATAATCTGCTCTAGTTTAAGTTCTGTAACTAGAGACTGTGATAATGATGAAGTTCACACTAGGTCTTTATGCACAGAATCAGACTGACTAACACAATGTACTTCAGGGACAGGAGGTTCTTTTTGGTCTGTATTCTGTCCAGTTCTTGCAGTGAAGTGTGAAAAGAAATTATTTTTCTCCCTGTGTCCTGTTTTTGGAAAGTAAATTGTTTGCTAATAGTAGATAGCTGTTACTGCCACTTTTTTGACAGTGAAGGCTTCTCCTGTTTCCAAAAAGCAGCTATTTTTAGCACTTCAGCAGGCAATTACAGGCAATTCCCATGCTTAACTCCTCTAGTTTACATTTATTTGGATAAACAAAGACTTCTAGTTTTATCCTTTTTTAAGTCTGTCTGGATAAACAGAGTGGGCTAGTGTGTATGTGTGCTACACAAACACTTGTAAATACAATACCATTCCAAAAGAAATATCCAGCACACACAAAGTAGACTTTAAAAAGTTGTCTTTCTGATTCTGCGTTGAGAAGAAAAAAATGTCAATTTCTAATCTGAATTTAGAAATTAGACAGAAGAATGTAGAAAACTATGATCTATCAGCCAAGGAATAATACGAGAAATATGTGAAATTATATTAAAAGAACCTGATAATAACCACATCAGTGGCACCACGTCCCTGAATAATTGATGTGAATGTTGGTAATCATCTAGGTAGTAAGTGGTGGCATGGGATTGTTTGGGTTTTCTTCCCATATTTTTTATTAAATAAGATATAAACACAATTTCCTTGGATTAATTATTATTATTATATTAAAAAAAACACCCAAGACATACAAACAAAACCAACCAGAAATGCTCTGTTCACAATTGCTTACTTTACAGTTTAAACTGAGCAGCAATTGCAAGCACCTTGTGCCCAAAATTTAAAGAAGAGAAAACTGACTCAGGTGCAGTCAGACTTTGCTTCAAAGTTAAACAATTTGCCAGGTGAGCAGCATTGTACATGAGCCTAGCTGGGAATACCCCAGGAAATCAAAATGGCAAAGGGCAAAGAACCTTCACTGGAAAGTAAATAATGGAAATGGCTGAAAATTCGAAGCTTTGGGTTCAGAAAGTCTTCTGCAGGATTGATATTAAGTATATGGTGTTCCAGTGGAGTTAAAGTAACTTTGAAACCATCTAATATGTGACTTCTAAACACAGATGAACGAGGCATGTGCTGATACTGAAGCATGCACTCAAGCTTTTAGGTGACACAGGTTCAGCACAGTTTTTTGTTCCATTCTGGCAAAGTTATTAGCACGATAGGATGTCTATGGTGAGAATTCCTGGCTGTGAACGCAGCACAAATAAGTGCTTTTCTCGTCTGGAGGGGGCTGCTGCTTTTTGCTGAAACTCAGAGCTTCAACAGCAGTAGGGAATTCAAACAGAAAAAATGCTCAAGCGTGACAGTTCATATGAGATTACAATGTCAGGTAAAAAGGCCACAAATTAGTGTCAACAGAAGGAATAAAGTAATTAATTGTTCAAGGACCTGTTATGTTGTTTTATGCTGAGTGTGCTTATGAGAATGCCTCTAATCACAAGGGATGTTACACCGTGTGAAGAACCGTTTGCTTTTAAGAAAACTGACAACCAACCAGTCCTACTTGATGGCAGTATCCAGGGGTTGGTGACAGGGTCTTCTGAACAAAACCTGGAAAGCCGAGGGGTGGCTGTGGGGTATTTCCTGCTCGGAAACACCAGGGGCAGCATTTGCTGCGCTTTGAGCGAGCGGAGCACGCAGCGCAGCCCCGCAGCCGGCTGCCTCTCGCCTCGGAAAGGAGAGATCAAACCGCAAAGCGAAATCTCGAGATGCTGCTTGGCAAAAAGCGCATCTTAAACGTGTAAAGTTAAAATGGGGAAAAAAGAAAAATCTTTGTTTGGAAAGATCACTCTCTGAGTTCTACGAAGTCTTGTAAGAGAGAGAGAGCGAGAATTGCTCCAGCTGTCTTGGTAGCTTCTGGAGCAGCACCATGGATTTCATATTCCCACAGTCACTTTGAAAAACAGCTAAGCCATCATTTAAAACACTCTCGCTTATTCTCCATGAGATTTGTGTTTTATTGTTGCACGTTTGTTCTGTGACTGACCCTCTTACACACAGCAATGACATCTGAGCTGTACAGAACAAATAAAAGCCTAAGCAAGGCCTGAGGCAAAGGTAACATTGTCTACTATTTTACAAACATTATTATTTCATTTTATTTTCCAGCTGTGCCAACCCACTGTTCTCAATAGATTCAAGCTGCTGTTACATATCAGATAATAACCCACTCTTCCTCAGTTGTTCAAGGTTAAACAACAACAAAAAAACCTTTTTTTTCTATTGGCAATAATGCCTTCCTCTGAAGGGAGCACAGCCCCAAACCTCTCCCACAGACCTTATCCCTCAGCAAAGTCTCAAAGCATTTGCTGAGACAAACACGGGTCTGAATGTGCTGGAGGCTCTGGCTGGTGCTCACCAAGTCAGAACCAGGAATCTCACATCTTGCAATAAACCTTCATGTTTGTTGCCTCTTGAAAGGAGAGGGGGTCATGAAAGTGGGGGGTTTTATATCTACCGTATGTCTAATGCTGCATATCTTTTATATTCTGGGGGACTTTTCAGGAATGTGTCACTTCATCACTAGCATTCAAAGTATTTATTTGCATGACTTTGGAAGGGGATAAAAATACCTGTGAAGGTTATTGTCAGCTCTTCCTCATCCTCAGCTTATTGGTCTCAGTATGCTGAGATGAATTTTTTGTATTTTTCTGAGTGGACCCGTTGCAGAACTGAAAGACAGATAATGCACCCATCTACTAAGGACTATACAGACCCAAAAGACCATGGAGGTTTTCCATCAGGGATGTGTCTCATTGTGCTTGGGGGACATTTTCATTCCCAGAGGTATTTGGGAAATTGGCTAATGCAGCCACAGTAGTACAACAGCATATTGCTTTAATAAAGCCGGCCAGCTCCCAGCTATTTCTGCATCCTCCTTTACCGCTCACCTACAACAACACGCAGAACCTGACGGCTGCCAGTTACAGCAAGGCCAGTTCCAGAGGCCAGATCTCTCAGTCTAAAATTGCCCTGCTCTAAATAGAGGAGCCGGGCGAGAGAAGCACCAAGCCTGCGGCTTTCCCGGGGAGGAACCACCGTGCAGGCGCTACGTGACTTGCCCTGGACACCCAAGAAGCTCTTGTCAGCGCGCAGAGCTCCCACATCCCGAGCCTGACCTCGTGTCGTGCACTCGTCCCGTGCATGCGAGCGCCCTAGAACGCACTGCTTGTTTTTATACCGTCCGTTCCAGAGAAATCCAGCTGGTAGAGGAGCGCAGCGCCGTGATTTATTTGAGAACTCCCTCGTACTCGCCTGAAGGTCTCGCCGCCGGGGGAGGAGGGAGAGCGCGGGAGGCTGCGCTCCTCGGCAGCTGCTCCGCGCCCGGCCCGGCACCCAGGTAGAGGGCGAGGAGGGGAGCGGGGATTTCCTTGGCTTCCTCCCATGCACATACCTCCTGGGGAGCGGCAGCGGCAGCCCGACTCCCCTCGGCGGCCGCTGGGAGGCTCCGCGCCTCGCCCCGGCCTCCCGGGCGCCGCGGCCGCGGCCGCGCTCTGTCGGTGACACCCGCCTCCCGCCCCCGCGCCGCTCCGCGCCGCACGGAGGGGCCGCGGGCAGCTCCGGCACCGGCAGCGCCGACAGCCCGCCGGCAAACACCCGCCCGCCGGCGCGGGCATGGGATATACAAAAACACAAAGGAAAAGTGGATGCTGGACTGTTCTGGGGGCAAAATGCTGGAAGTTTGTAAGTGCAACTCTCCGTTTGTAATTACTGTCTGAAGAGGGGCTGGGTTGCTCGTTTGGGGTGTTTTTCCCTCTCCCCCTTCTCCCCGCTACTCCGCGCTTTTCTTGAAACTGTACTTGAAACTGTTCAATATCTGGGAGTAAAAGGGAAAGTACGCGAGAGGAGTTCTTTGCCTGTGTCCGTAGCTTGCTGCTTAATACTAAGGGGGGAGATGAGCACTGAAAGCAATACGGATTTATCCAGTGGCTGAATTAAGTGAAGGCGAAGCGTGGTTTGGAAGTCCACTGACTGACATTGTTCCGGACTGGGGGATCTGTCTCTCTGATTTTTAGAGGAACTACAGTTTAGTGGCAGCCAGCCGGACACAGTCACCACGCCGCAGAGTGGCCAGCAAACGAGCGGGCGAGAGAAACGAGAAAGCACAAAGACTGAACTAACCCGACCCTCCTCCTCTTTCTCCTCCTTCCCCGGCTCTTTATTTGCACATTTACTAAAGACTTGAAAGGAAAAAAAAAAAAAAAAAAAAAAAGAGAGAGAGAGAGAGAGAGAGAGAGAAATCCCAACAAACCCACTCCAGCTAACCTACGAGATTTTCGGTCCGCCGGGGGTTTCTCCGCGCCGCCGACCACGGCAATGCCTTAAATTTTCACTTCAAGGAATAACACCCCCCCGCTCCCCCGAAATAAAATAAACCCAATAAACCTGCCAAGTCTCACTCATTCCCGACGGAGAGCTCCTTCGTCCGGGGATTCATTTTGAAGGCAGCGGCTCGCTTTATTTGGCTTTTTTTTTTTTTTTTTCTCCCGTTCTCCTCCCCCGGCGGAGCCCCGCCGTCCCCCCCTCACCGGGCGCCCCTCGGCCGGGGCTGCCCGGCCCCGACCCCCGCCCCTCCCGCCGGCCGATGCTGGCGCAGCCCTAGCGACCCCCTCCCGCCCCCCGATCTGTCAACCCGCCGCGGGGCCGTCACCGCCCGGGGGCCGGGCGGGGGTGGGCTGGGGGCGCGGGGCTGACCGCCCTCCGCCCCGCCGCCAGCCCCCGGGCTCGGGCTCCCGCCGCTGCCCCCGCCTCCCCCCCCATCCCCCCCGCCCTCCTCCATGCGGCAGTGAGGACCGACCCATCCGGAGGGCCAGGACCGGCAGCTAGCGATGGGCGACACGGCTCCCCCCCAGGCCGCGGGGCTGGGGGCCGGGCTGCTGGGGGGGGGCCCGGCGGCGCCCCGGGTGCACAGCGCCATCGTGGAGCGGCTGCGGGCCCGCATCGCCGTCTGCCGCCAGCACCACCTCAGCTGCGAGGGGCGCTACGAGCGGGGCCGCGCCGAGAGCTCCGACCGCGAGCGGGAGAGCACCTTGCAGCTCCTCCACCTCGTGCAGCAGGGGCAGGGCGCCCGCAAGGCCGGCAAGCACCCCAAGGCGGCCGCCGCCCCCGCCGCCGCCGCTGCCGCCGCCGGCGCGGCGCCCCCGGACTACCACCAGCACCTCCTCGGCAACGGCGGCATCAACGGGGAGCAGCCGGCGGGGGAGCAGCGCGCCTCGGCGCTCCTGGCGGTGAGTCACAGCGCCCGCTGCCGGCGGGGAGGCGCCGCGCCGCGCCGCGCTCGCTCCGCGGGGCGCCCGCCCCGCCCGCCCGTCCCGCGGGCCCGGCGCGTCCGCGGGCTCGGCCGCGCTCTGGCGTCGAGTGCGCGAGGAGCGGTGGGCAGGCGCCGAGCCCGGGGGCTGAGGGCGAGGGTGGGTGCTCTTCGAAGGGGTTTTGGGACTGCTTGGGGTGCTGCTTTGGGGTCTCTTTTGCATCACGCTGTGCACTAAAAACGCGTCGCGCGCCTCTGCCGAGGCGGTGACAGCGGCATCCTTGAGCAGGGCACTGGCAGCCGACGCTGTCAGCGCGTCCCCGAGCAAGGGTGAAAAGTAGCGCTCGGGTACCACCCGCGTTCAGAATTGTTCCCCTTGCCCCACTCCATCCCGTTCGCCGGGGCTTCGGGCACCTACTTGAGGCCATTTCGCAGCCGTGCCCCTGGAACTCGGGCAGTGCCTACACCCGGGGCAGCGGGCACTGCCCGGAGCGGAGTGCCCTGCCTGCGGGGCGGCTCCGAGCGCCGGCCTCGCCGGCGATGCTCAGGTTGTTATTGTCAGCCGGAGTGTTTCGCGGAGCAGAGTTACGAGAGTTTTCCAGGCACTGCCGCTCTGTAAATGATACGCTGACCTTTTTCAACTGGAAATTGCTCTGAACATGTCAAGGAGGCGAAGCCTTGTCTCCTGTTACTTTATTACGAGCAGTCAGTGCACCACGCTTTTGAAGGCGTAGGCTCCGCTGTGCTGCCTCCCAACTCTTAATTCTCGGCACACATGCGAAATATTGAGAGGAGTGACTGCATCCTGATAGGCCCGCGGCTGCTATTCGAACAGCTGAAAATAGATCGCTCCCTCTGCTCCAGACATCAAACTTATCTTTCTTAGTGCCTGACGTATGCCAAAACAGGACCTTTGTGGTCGTTTCTGCCTTCTTACCCGTGCAGTGCGTGGATCGACGTTTGGGGCTGCGTTACTCAGCATCATTCGTGAGGGTGATGATGTAAGCGTTAAATGCGATAACATTGTGTCCGAGGGGAGTTTAGGCGCTTCCACCTGACTCAGTGCTCAGATTAAATCTCCCCACATTCCTTGTCACAATCAAGAAAGCCATTATCTTATTTTTCCAGTATGTATTAATGTAATGCTTTACACTTGCCTTATTGGGAAAAAAAAAAAAAAAAGCTTTTGCCTAATAGTGTACATCCCAGAAAAATTCACTTCCTGAAATCAGGCAACAGGCCTATGTGGAGTTTTTTGTTTTGTTTGTTTGTTTGTTTTGAATTTTATTTTTTTGCTAGTTGTTACTATTATTATAGCTGTAGACAGATGTTTGGAAATGTGAAATGAAACAACTCCCAAGAAGATACCGAAAGATTTTCATCTAAGTGCAGAGAGATTGTCCTTGTTTCTGAAATATCACTAATAGCTATTAGCCTGCTGCTTGCTGGAGATGCTATACACGGCCCTTGCTCTATGTTCCGTGTTGCATTACCTCCCAGAAAACTCCACAGACACGTGTCCTTGAGAAGCAAAAGGTCTGACAAAGTCCCCATCATTTTTGCATGCCAGCCTTTGGTAATCGTGCTGACAAGGTGTGTGACTTCAGTGAGCATGACATTTGGGGCCCTGAACCATGTTTTGACATCGAGTAAATGCTGGCTCATGAAACAGCATTGTTGTAATGGTGTCACTGCTCATCCTCCCACTCTATGCTTGACACTGGCATTCCTCATTCACTGCTCTGATTAAGAAACAGAGAAAGTTATTGTTTCAAAGTCACACCTCTGTGTCGTGGACGTACCCCTTCTGCCTTACCAAGAGCTCCTTACAACAGTGTTGCAAGTATTAACAAGGAATAGCAAAACACACAGTGTCTGAGTGGGGTGAATTCAAGTTGCTGAGCATCAAGCAGCTTTAAGGTACTACAGCTTTGTGTTCCTGTTCTTGAAAATTCAGAGGGCAGGGTTGGACAGGGAAAGAACAGAGTCTTGCTGTTCCTCCAGCCATAGCTGGAAAAGGAATTACCTCTGCCAGTTATTCCAAGGGTGAAGGACTTGAAGAGGAAGGACGAGGTAGACTAAGCCTATTGTCCTGTGCAGTATAAATGGATGGGAAGAGAACAATCTCTAAGCAGAATTCATCCTCTCTGGGGTGATTCTCAAGAGGAAATCCAGTGGAAGCCTTATATGCGTTATTGCTCTAATTGCAGATTTATTCCTCACGTACCTAGTGAGGTGCACAGGGTCCTGGAACAAGGGGCAGCTCTGAGTTTCAGTTGTGGCAGGTACAGCTGTAGCACAGGGAAGTACAAGACAGGAGCATGGGTGTGAGTCTCACTAAGCATGTGAGACTGGACACACAGCCAACTCCAAGGGGAATGTAAAGCTCCACATGCTTTGCTGTAGCTCCACATGCCTTGCTGTAGATCCACCAGTTTAAAAAAACCCCACAGCTCCACACAGATAAGTGCAAAGGCAGTCATAACTCTCGCTGGGGAGCTCTGGCTACCAGGACGCTCTTTTGTCTGCAAAACCCAGCTGGGTTGTTTCCTCTGCTTTGCAGGTCCCACTGCTCTTGTTACACATGTGCCTGCAGTGTTTAGTGGCACTGGATGGGTCATTTACACAGTTGGACTCAAAAGTAAATATTTGACACTTGGTAACATTTGAAACAATGTTTCCTTGAGCATATCAAAGTGCTTGAAGTTATTATCTGACATTGTTGATACTATTATTTGATAATTATCTGTTCCCAGTGGGCAGTTTAAAACTGGCAGAAGAGAGAGTTTTTAGAGGAGTTTGGTTTGGCCTTAATTTAACATTGTTACTTTGATTTTTGAGAAAGTATCTTTAGCAACAGCATTTTCTAATTGGAGACTGGGGATCAGATTTTTTTAGCTGGACCAATGGATGTGGGTGTGTGTGAATGAGAGACGCAGCTAGCTTTTGTACTTTCTGCCTTCGTGCATTTCCCAAGAGCTGACATTTGTTTATTTATATGGTGTTGTTACTTTTCATGGTGCAGAGTGGAACAGATAAAATATTCTGTCTTTCTTTTATGCATACATCTGTATGTATGTATATGCCCTCCAGCACTTAGCTGTTTATACTATTTACGTTATATGTAAACAGTTAGTTCTGGAGGGCATTCCTCAGAGCCTTAAGCACTGAACTGGTAATATCAAACTTCTTGCATTGCAGTTTCAAGTCTCTGGCAGCCAATTCATTCCATCGTCCTTCTGACACAGGCTGAGCACTGCTCATTTTGCTCTGTGAGAGCCGGGAATTCTGTCTCATGGGCATTAGTATATTATTCTGGCTAGGTTCTTCCATTGCAGCCATTGCCCCGATGGCTCTGAGTGTGTTAAGTGATGTTTGTCATCAGTCAGAGGCGACTTGTTCTACTTTCACCCATCTCATGGTTGTGCTGAATTTATCATTACAAGAATTCATTTAAAATAGCAATTAAATACATTAATATTTTTTGTACTTCGAAAAGTGACTGTGAAAGTGGGCTGCTCCCCAGATGCAGTCTGCAAGTAGGTGAAAAAAGGGAAAACCATCCCATAAAAGTGATGTATCCAAGGAAGACGGGAATGTATTGATTCCTTCTGCTCCCCCAAATTCTCATCCACAGCTGTAGAAATCTGAAAGAGTCAATGGGTTTGTCCCAGTTCCCAGAAGATCTCAGTGAAAAACAGGGTTGCCTGACTGGTACCAAGAGCCAAGACTGACTTATAAAACCTCAATTTAGGCAGTTATTTAATGTGGAGATCCTAAATTAATTTCCTAAGGATTTTTTTTTTTTTATGATCCATACTTTGTTTGCTGAGATTTGGCCTTCTCTGTGCTAATGTTAAAGAACCTTGAGTGTTTTAAAAGGAACTATTGTGCTCTGGTATCTTTGCCCAAGCTGACACTTTACCTCCATCTTCCAAATTCTTTGTTTTGTTTGCTGCAGAAATACCTGCATTTTTTGTGGATGTACATAATATTTGGAAGTGCTCTGAAGCAAGAAGGATAAGGTGGCCAGCTGTGGGGTGAAGTGACATTATGGTGTGGTGAGCACACACAGATTAAAGCAAAAATCATTCTGCAAAGCTAGAGTGAAATCTTTTCACTGACACAAAGTTTGGTGTGAA